TAAAATGTTCTTTGAGTATTAGGAATACAATTTGAACCTTATACACTTGCTGATTACCCAGACTTGCTCGGGTATGCATTTATTACAATCATTTATTAAGCAGCTCTGAATGAACTTCCCACCAACCGTTCGATATTCACTACTGTATTGCAAATAGCATTATTTCTGGTAATATTTTGTGATGTTACTAAATTTGGGATAACATTTTGGGGATCGTTAACCCCCAATACATTTGGACTTCTTAAAAATGCGTTAGCAAAGTGCTCAAACGTTTTTGTGGACACGCACACATCCTATTCTAGAAGCGGCTTCTTGGGGTAGCCAGAACCCAACCTGATGAATAAATACTTAAGTTTAATACATAATGACACAAACATGACTCTTACAGAAGGTGAATTTTTCATCTAGAGATAAAAAATGAGAATTTCATTATAGTGGCAGCCGGTGTTTCTCAGTCCAAGCGCTTCGTAAGCCCGCGAGATCCGCCTTTTTCCTCTCTTGCTGTATCGTCTCGCACTCTCAGAGATTGCCTCGCTTCGCGCCTCAGAACGAGAAAAGGTCCTGGATTGAGGGATAGGCGCCAAGACCGACAAGGAAGACTTCGATTCCATGCCACATGAGAGCATTTGTGGGCTCAAAGGCCCACCTATGTTTGTTACACGTTCCATTTTTTAAGACGTCGAAAATCATTGATATTGATTCTAATGATTCTTTTTGTTCAAAATTCGACGGATGTGATCACTAGCGTGTATGATCAGGGTTTTTAGCCGTGAGTGAAAAAAATTCCGGACTATTCACTCGAAAAATGAACGTTCAGAATAATTTTTTGAAATATTTCTAGTATTTTGTCTAAGTAATGATTTGAACTGTTATGAAAATGTTAAGTTATATCATCTTCTTAACATAATCAGTTTTGTCAGTAAATACAAACTTTGACGTAAGAAAGTCTAAAATTTTCATTTACAGAACCAGAAAATAAATAATAAATTTGTATAAATAAATACTGCAAATATATAATTAGTTGTATAAATTAATTACTAAAAATCGTGAAAACATGAATAAAATGAAAATGTAAGCGGTCAGCTTCGCCTCTCCCACTTGGTTATGAACAGTACCATTATAAATTTATTTACAGGGCAAATGGGTATAACCCGGTGGCAGCAAATTACATAAATAAGATAATATAGCTAATATTCAAATTATATAATAATAATAATAATAATGGTACAATAATAATCAGAAACAAAAACATCTGATAAAACAACAATAATAATTAAAATAACAATAATAAAAATAAAAACTGACTGATTCATAAAGCATTAAATTACCTTACTTATATAATCTAACTCCGGGTTGAATGTGCAATTAAGATCACACTACACTGTATTGCACTTCACTTCACTCTGACCTTTTAATCACTTCCTTCATTATTTCTCTGCTCTACACATCATGACACCTAACTTCACTTCACAATATTTCTTATACTTCTTATATATACTTCACTTACACATCGCTCTACAACCCACTATTCTCAGTGAAGTCCCTCATTTACTAAATTAATTTCCTAAACAGTTGAACGCTTCGAGAAAAGGGTTCGAAGGTTTTTGCAGGCAATTTATTGCACTCCGTTATCGATTTGAGAAAGAAAACTTCTCGACATCCGGCCTCCGCGGTTTTAAATTTATTTTGTTTCTGTGATCCCCCCTACTGATGTATGTAGGAATACTTAGCCGTCGATTATGTCTTGACATTGCTTAGGTTAACTGTGAAGTCAATAAATGTAAAGTGATCATAACTCACAAAGAATTGGAATCACCTGAACCATATCATGACGAATTTTTGGCCGTAAATTAAAGTTATGTTCTGCACACACGACAGAATTAAGGTCTATTAGCCCTGTGGCAGACGGTTAAGATTGGCGCAGGGTGAGACGTAGAAACGTTTCGGTATGCAGTGCATTCTCACTAGTTCTCGGGTTTGCGTATGCTACTTAATTTTTTGAAGTTTTTGAAAGCGCTTTTTTAATTTCTCGCATTCTATGTTTTACGTAATACAGATAAATTATTGTAATGCTGGGACTGAAAGAGGCGGTCTTCGGGAGAAAAACTCTTATTATGGGACACTGTATCGCAATCGTGGATGAACAGAAGCCACTCAGAGGTTGGCATTACGTCATACCTACACAACGCCACATTACCTCTATCAATTGGTATTATCGATGCTATGTCAAGGCTCAGGGAAACGGACGGACAAATCAGAGTGGCAGTCAAACAGTTCCTACATCCGCATATGAGTACTTCAGATGGCTTATTCTATCTGGCCATGAGAGATGGACTGGGATTGCTGCGGCTCACCCAACACGTTCCCTGAAACTAGGATTACGGTTACAAAATCTGCAGATATTTGCAGATGGCTGAGCTCCTGTCCCAGTTTCTACCAACGGACATTAAGGATCGCCAAAACACTGGGACTCAACTGTCCCAACACTGAACACGATTTAAGGGCTTTGTAACGTACTAGCAAACGAATCTCATGGTAGCTACTTGGTGGGAGGGTGGGAGAAGCTGGGATCCCAAGGGAGAGAGGTTAAGGCGCATATAAAATGTCCGATTTAAAATGCCTTTTTGAAAGATTATAATCTTCTGCAACCTGATTTTTTTTATCACTGCACTCCAATTGAGATCATACCGCTGCCAATAAAATTACTCTTAGTAGAGGAAGACCCAGAGATGATGTATGCTGTAGGAAGTGCAATACAGCGGTAGAAACCATGAATCACATTTTCGGTCAGTGCATTTTTACGAAGCCAGCAAGAATAAAGCGTCATGTCGAGATCAAGAACTTCATAGAAGGGAAGATGCTCTGAAAATCGGACAACGTGGTGTCCACGGAAGCCACTTTCTCCGTTGCCGAAGGGACTAGACTCAAACCTGACGTGGTAATATAAAGTCGCGAAGGCGACCACGTGGTCGATGTGACTGTCCACAACGAAGATGGGTCTAGCCTTCTGAAAGTAGAGAAGGGAAAGGTAGTGAAATACCAACCAGCCATTCCCTTGGCAGCCCAACATCATGAAGTGCCTAACAACAGAATCCTGCCCCTGGTTATGCCAAGATCCACAGTCAGCGGCCCTCAAGACCTGGGGGTTACTACTCGAGGCGATCTAATGACAATCTCGTTAATTCCTCTCAGAAGTTCTATTAAACTCTTCACATAATTTGTAAATTACAATGAAGCAATTTAGCATTGCTATTAGTAAATTGTAATAGGACGGTCGCACGCGGGTTTTATAAATTTATACTGAGTATAACGTTGCTACGAAAGATGCCAGGAAAAGCGCAGTTTCTCTCTATCTGCAAGCGCTTTCAGAGGATCGGGAACGCTGAGGAATCCAGCCATTTGGTCTCGGCACAACCCACGCCTGGCCGCATCCGATGACTCATGGGGGAAAACGGACGCCGTTCCCTTTGAGCGACGCATCACCGCTGTGCCCTGTTCTCGGAAATAGGATGACGTTCGAGTTTCGCAGAATTTGGCAAGACGCGGGCGTCCGTCAACGACGCCGCAATAGAGAAGGAGAAACAGCGTGACGAGCGGCCGCCAATCGCGGGAAATGAAGCGTGGGAGGGTCACGTGACCCGCAGAGCCTACGAAGCATTTGAAAGACGCCATCTCTGCCATTGCCATTCCGATCAGGAATACAGCTTCAGCAAGTTAGCTCTGAAAAAAGCTACAGCAAGATGCAGGAACACAACGAACAGGTGGGCCTTGCCGAGGTGGGGGCGAGGGCGAGTTGCTTCGACACACCGGGGTCGCCAACAGACGCACTGCTGCCGCGTCGCCGCCCGAATGCCTTGCCTCATCGCCACATCTCATGCCGACTCGGGGCGCTGGCTCTGAACAAACGCAGAGGGCCATGACTGTAAGTGCCCACCGCGAGTCCTATGACGACGGGCCGGGGCGCGATTAACGCAGCCGCTAATCGTGCCGCCAATGCCCGAACCAGCGCTGTTGGCGCCAGTCAACGCTACCACGTCGCATCGACGTCGCACCACACTGCCAGTCGCCCCGACCGCCTCGCTAGTGGGCAGAAAGGGTTGAGGCTAGACGCAGCCGGCCGACAACCGCCGCACACGTACGGTTACGTCCCGGGATCGTGACCACCGGGAGGACGCGGCTTGCCGCCGGACCGACTTGCTGAGGGGCAAAAGAGGTGAGGCGAGGCGCAGCCTGCCGCCAACCGCACTACGCCACACGCCGGAGCGCGGTGCCGCCGCTCCCGCGGGAAGGGTCATGACCGCCCGCAGCCGATGATGAACTCGGGACCATACGGCCATTTAAGATAAGATTATATTTATGGTAGTTCTAAGGATTAGCATGACTTCACCTCGTTCATAAAAGGAGCATTAAAATCACTTTAAAAGAAATAAAACAATGTGTTTAAATGTAGTGGTAGTATTACAGTTAGCCCTATCACGCATGCCTCCCTCTTGGTCTGCAGACTGAGCAGCCGAGGTGACGCTGGATCGGACGAAATACAGGTTATCAGGTGAGTCGGGGCAGCCACACGGAGGGTGTGGTAAGTAAACTTACAATAATCACAAATAACTAGTGGTGCTATAGAATGGCACAGACTTTCTCGTACTACAGTTTTTTTGAAACTTTATTTGGTCTAAGCTAGCTTTTCGGTTTTGCCAGCTCTTCCTAGCTGCCATCTACTGCCATTCGAACAACATAATATCACTTTCCCTCATTTTTTGGTCATATTCATGCTTTTGGGGAACATGTACATGACATCAATTTTCATATTTTAAGATTATGAAATTAATGAAATTTAATTAATTAATGAAGTCTTTAAATTGACAGTCAATATGGAATATATGGTGTCGACAGAAAAAAAAGAGAGGGGAAGGAAGACAGGAAGAGACCACCTTTCTACGGTTCACATGTAGGCTTTATCTAATGGCTACAATAAGAATCTCAATTAATGAATCACTCACCGAATCATCAGTTCCTGATGTTAAGCCACACGCAGCGGCATGTTGTTCAATAGACGATACATCAAAATAGTCTGTAAAATAGCACAAGATTTTCAAGAAAAATTGCCACAAATCTCATATAAAAAATTAATAGTTATAATTTTATCATGAAATTTTAAAATACAAAAATTGAGTATACCTTCAAAACTTTTTCAACAGTAGAATACCATTTCATAAAATTTGTGTCACACATTATTATGTTTGATTGTATCAAATGAAATGTTTTAGTAATTCCTAACAACTTGTACACAGTATAGTGACCCTACAATTGACAGTTCCAAAATGACATGCGTCTGAGAGATACATGTTCTTTCTGGCAAAAAGGCACAATTTCTAGAAATTGAAATAATGGCCATGAGAAAGCACATTATTTTAACATATTCTAAAAACATTATTAAAGAAAACGTGTTTTGAGGCATTTAGAGTGGTAAAAAGAACATATACTACATTTTTGAGAAGTTTGACGGCACTTAAAGAAGCGATCAATAGCTCATGCGTCTCCACCTGACAAAACACATCAATTGGTACTGCTTTTAGCTGGATCTTTTTTCAATATTCTACAACAAATCAGGAGAATCCCATGTTTTGGGGGTGTTACGAGGAACCAACACTATGTAGTGAAATGCTGGATTTACTAGACTCCCTTTCCAGTATAATGTAAATTATTTGGGGATTATTGACAAGACAAGTGGTTAGCCCTAATAGTAATGAAATGAAGAAATTAAAGGAGTAGATATAAAAAAAGAAAATGCCTTCTATTGATAATTTGTCATGCAACTATTAGTGCCCAAGGAGAGATAAGCCAGGCAGCTGTAGTGTAATTAAAATTCTTTTTTTTTATGAATTTGCATTGAGCAATTTAAAAAACTCAAATTGAAAGGACCCACCAGCGATGCTACAATAAGCTAGTATGATGAGCCATAAGTATAATAACAAAGCACGATATTTGTATATGAAATCTTCTTCCTTGCTTAAAGGAACCTTCTAGAACGATTTTTCACAAACATCCCAACAATATATAAATGGACTGCTAAAGTACAGAGAGACAGTTTTGGCAAGAGCCATGCTGTAGGTCCAGGCTATGCGAAGCTGAGATAAAGAAAACGACAAGCACCGCACTGCCACTGCTGTTGATGCAGCATCGAAAGAACGGAATGATATGGTAAGCAGCCTCCATTATTGTTAACTCGACAACCGTCTCCTCTTCCTAGTGTATCTCTCATTTCTCTCCTTCCCCCAGTCACACTCCAGGAGAAATACATCTCTCTGTTGTCTGTCCCCACACATTGCAGTAAATAAATGTTATTATTTGAACTTGATGACATTTTGTTCACTACATCTCCATCTCCCTCTCAATTATAACCCACATAGTACTCCATTATCAATGTGCCTCCCCGGGAGTACCCTGTAACCAATGAGCTTCCGGGATGGCATATCACATTAGTTATTATAACACTAAGCAAATGCCATATCTTTGCTCTCAGATAACTAGACTATAAGGACAATTATACAAAAGAAAACAAATATGTGTGGAAAAAGTAGTAGAACTTACCAGAGCATAGTGGGCAAGCAATTCCGGAAGGACCTGGCACTGCATATCTCTCTAATGATAAAATATTTGAAGATGAATGTTCTGGACTAGATAAAGTGACCACTTCTTTGTTATCATTCCTTTCTTTACGGGTCTTTTCTACATGTAAATTAATAATAGTGTCTTCATCACTGTCACAATCAATCAGCTCTTGTCTGGTAGATACGCCAGCTTCAGGTGACACAGCTGTGAAAGTATCACTATCAGAGTCTGAAATTTCTGTGACATCATTGATTTCTGTAAATTTGAGTCCACCATGGAATGAATGATCTTGCCTTTGCAATAATTTTAACTGATTACCACTAGACCAAAGCTTTCTTCTGCTTGTAGCTTTTCGGACAGGAGATTTCATATTATTCACAACACTTGAAGGTGAGAGAGCTGATGTTCTTTGCTTTTTTTGCAATGATCCTACAGATTTCCCAGAAGCATCATAAGGTGGTGTGCGCTTCCGATTGCTGACTGTTGAAGATGAACTTTGTCTTGCTTCATGAGATTGTCTTTCAAAATAAGATTCTATACTCTTGTTAGAGTTTGCTGAGGAGGGAGAAAATGACTTATGGGTAGTTGGTGGTGTATGTGATTTTGTGGCACTATCCTGGCAGTTCTTATTATAAAGACTTTTCCTTGCAGAACCATTAAGTACGTGTTTTCTGTTATTTGGTTTGCTTAAAGATAGATCTGTTTTGTCAGGCAAACTATCCCTGCCATTTGAAGACGACTCAGCTGCCTCTCTCAAATCAGAACTACATTTCAAGGATGTTCTTTGATTTTCTATAGCAGCTAAAACAAGCTGCTGGGAACGATTTACAACCATTGGACCCGCTCTTCCTAAAGTGCCGTCTCGCATCATTTGAAATACAGATCTGCAAACAAAAAACCCTGATGTATGAAGATCTAAGGATATTAATTACCAATGCATTAAAATTTTTCTTGGGGAAGTCTAATAGGAATATCAATCTTTACAACAAAAGGTAAGGAGAAATTAAGTACCTAATCCATGGAGTAAGTGCAAGTTATTTTGACATATTGTAATATTTGACATTAAGACTAAGATAATGAAGTTTAGAAAGATCAAATCAATATGTTATTTTGTTAATCTTTTTTCTCTTTGTATTTTAAAAACTTTACTAACAGAATGGAGGTATCGAATCAGAATAATCAGAGTGGCCACAAAGTATCAAGAATAAAGAGAATTTGCGAGGCAAGGGAGTTCATAGTTATATTTAAAACACATTACAATCATAATAGATAGCAATATGTAGGACAAGAGAGATATTTTTTTAGTTTTCCTGAACAATGTTGACTAAAGCCTCAAGCCTATGTTAAATGATAACCTGTTAGTATACATGATGTTATTAGTTAATACCATATTTTTACATTTAGAAACTGGAGAAAAACTTTGATAGCTCTCTTTTTATTCATATCATCCTGAGTCTTCCTTAACTCACCCTGGTGGTGGCAACTGTTGCGTAGGCTGCACAGGAAGTTCATCTTCTGCTATGGAAAATATCTTTAAGAATGAGAGGCCAAATTGTTCATTTTGAAGGAAGGGCTGTAAGCAGGTTACTCTCACCGTATTCCACTTCTGTTCTACTACATCCTCAACAAAGTGTTCTGATTGACAAAAAGAATTAAATGGTTAATTTCTCTCCCAAGTATACTATATAGCCACACACACACACACACGTGCATGCCCATGCACACACATGTATCACAATAAAAGTAAGAAAACCTACTCTAAGAATTGGTACATTTTCTTACAAAAAATGCTCTGCAACTGACCTTTTGAGAACATGTGCACAGAGCTCCAGTTCTTTTTGGCTTGTGCATCTCTGCCACTCATGAGCTCTGTTGATGGTAACAATGTCTGATACCTTTGTTGGCCTCGAGACACCTCTATGGTTATAAATGAAGATCCACAGTTTCCTAGAACATGCATATTTCTATTAATAATAATTCAATAACTATTTTACAGAAGACCAAACAATCAAATTAGACAGAACAAAGGACGCTTAGGTCATGTAAAAACAAGGCCCTAACATAAATACTTTAAATCTCAATATCAACCTTGGGTGCAAACTATTAATGTAAGTTAATACTGTTTGTCTCCCAATATTTCCTACAATAGTTTATTCAAGCGAGAATACAATAAAATTAATTAATTTTCATTAAAATTCTATAATATTTAAATCACTATTCATTGTTTCCTTGGGAAAGAAAATCAATCAATGAATGAACAAAAAAAACTGAAGCACATCTTACTTTACTCAGCAACACTAATTGCAATTAATTATGTTACTGGTGATGATAATAGTATACTCTTAATAATAATAATAAACTTAATTATAAACAAGAAGAAGAACTAGTGGTGCACCTAAATATCCCAAATTTTCTAGTACTAGAAAGGATGACCTTACCAGTTTTGCTACAACCCTTCCTGATCACCATTCAAATAGTGCTTAAGGAATATACCAGGACCTATGGTAACTATCGTGACATTGGGGACAAATCCCACTTAAATGGTTCATGAACAAAATGGCATGGTCACCCTTAACCCTAACACACTCAGTACCATTGTATATTCTACCTGTGATAACCCATCGCCCCATCTTGCTGCCCACAGATCTCACACATTTAACGATCAGAACAAGGGATTACAAAGGGATTAAGATATTGAGGGTGTGTCACAAATACTTACAACATTAATGTCTTATGAGGGGTTTGAACACACACTCTTAGTTGCTATGCGTTTGGATGTACTTGCCCCAAGACCATATTACATGAAAGCTGCCTTAACCTTACTGTTAGGTAGACAATGAAATGTATCACGAGGCAACGTGTCTTTGCATGCACCCCAACAGGGAGAACTCGTAAGCAACCCCCAGCAGATCTCTGCTGAGAGAGCGAGGCTATGTAAGCAGACACCTGGGGCATCCGCCCCTCTCTTATACCTTGATTGCACAACATGGAAGGTAATGGCGCTTTCTCCATGGCACCTTCAGACCACGCCATGGCACAAAGGAGTGCCTTATCTAAATCTGTGAGAATTTATTTTACCTAAATAGGATGCCAGCCCAAACTCACAAATTATATAGCAATGGGCATTACACTCTGTTGGAGACAGGGTAATTGAGAATTAATAAATGATGAGGCGAGGACTGACATGAAATTTTATTTTTTATGCAAACTGCATAAGAGCACGGCTATGTTAGTGCTGTCTGCAACAATGTTACGGTTATGTAAAACAATAAAAATAATAATGGTGTAAGAATATTTGATCTTTCTGATGCATGATGGGTATTGAATCTGTTCAAGGAAACTTAGCACCATCTGTAGCCATCAACATCAACAAAGTTACTCGAGTTTCAAAAATTATCAACACTCATTAAGGGGCAAATACTTCAAAATGAAATAAATACACAGAAAACTTAGAATATAATATTGACAATTTGACTCAATTAACTCAATAATTTACTTTTCTTTCCTGTAATATAAATATTGAGGGAATTTTCATAGTCTCCGCATCTTTGTCAAATTATTCCATATTTTGTGTTTTTTTTTCTTTCCCCTTGTAGTTTAATAGAAATGAGACTTAGAGAATGCCATACAAGAGCAAGACCTCTTTTCATATGGAAATTTTCAGACAAAAATTTGAAGCCATGCTTGAAAAAATGACATTTAAGAATTTCTGAAAATTTGATAATTTTTGCAATTTTAAAAAAACTTCATAAGAGAAACTTTTAAGGATTTGTGGTAGCTAATAGATTATATTATAAAATACTCCTGCAAAAAATATTAACAACGTAGCAGATATTTAAAAATAAACCCTGTTAATTCTATCTTCACAAAATTTCGAAGGATAAATTTTTCATCAGATAAATTTTGAACTTTTGAATGCTTATAAGGGTTAATTAAAATGCATGATGATGCATATGGAATGTGCTCAATCTGTACAAAAAGTTATTTTCAAAGAGTAATTTTTCAATAAACCTGGGTTTTTGTATTTTTTAAAAATTGTTCTTAATTCTCTACAAAACTACTCATATTTTTGAACAAATCTTTCAAAGATCTAATTTTGAAGAATAAATTTCATGTAAAAAAAGTCCATCTTCGCTAATGTAGTTCTATGAAGTGGTCAAATCAATTTTGACTTTCAGTTTTCAAAATCTCAAAGAGGTTTTAATGTAAATAATTTTTATATGCATATTCTTTTATTCAGTCAGAAAATTTAATAGAAACATTTGGGGCAAAATTTTTTAAAATGTTGATGGACCGTCTTGTGAAGTAGTCCCCCAAAGTTAAACATCTTATTCAAATTCTCAGTGTCCTGACTGGGGCCATATCAATAATGGAATATTCATTTGGAGAAATTTCTGTGAATTTGCTTGCATTGTCCACAAACAAACAGAACAAGGTTTTGTTGTTAACCATTTTTCAAGTACCAAGGGCCCAAAAAACATTATTTCTGACAATACATTTGAGATAACATGTAAGTTTCTCAGGAGCAATACTTTCTCTCTACTACTTACACGAGATAGTAATAATGTAATAAAAAATTTTTATTGTGCAACTTCAATCAATCTCGCCAATTTTACCCAAATCTTTTCGCAATACTACGAACAAATTTGTCCACACAGTTGAGTGACACACTAACTTTGGTGAGCAATGTAGTAAAAGTTTGTGCACAAGTCATATAATACATTGGATATTTTGTACAACATGCAAAACTAAACATCCTTCCTTTAACATTTGGAATATGCAGTCTAGACAACTAATGTTACAAAAAACATAACAAATGTTCTCAGCTAGATGTTTTGGTTTGAGCATAAATGATATTTCTCACTCAAAATCTCTGTTTGTTGAATGTTCTTTAGTTCCACTTCATTATTACAACTAGGATTCTACATTTCAAATGATGAATTTTTCCACTACCAGACAAATTTACATTGTTCATTATACTGAACAATGTCATTCCTAATTTTTTGAAAACTATACACAATATTTTCATGAATTAAATCTAAGGTAACAAAATAATATTTTGAAGTGATGTTAGACACACTTATATAAAGCCAGGTACACACCTACATCAATGTGACTGATTGAATATGCTTCTCCAAAACTTAGTGTGACATCGTTCACACTACTACGTGATTTTCTCTCACTTAACCATTTGCCTCCTTGCAACAAATTTGCAGCTGGAAATTTGATGTCCTACAAAAGTAAAACATTAATTTGATATGACTGGAATAACATTTGATAACAGATTTTTAAAACCACTGATACATCACTATCAGTAAAATACTTTCCACTTTTCTTCATGCATATCTCAACTACAGAATTGAAAAATGTCTTCTCTCTATAATGTTAATTTGATTAAATTTTATTCGCCTTCTTCAATTGAGAACACAACGTATTTTTCATTGATGTTTTTTTTTCATTAACGTAAGTGAAAGTAAACCAAAAAACAACTGTGAGTCAACTTAATTATAACACTATTTTGGCATAAAAATTAAATGGAGTTTTCAAATTTTAAAACAGTAGTTCTGGGCAACTAAAATTACTTTTACACAAAAGCACACAAGACAAAAAATACATTTCGCTTTCGAGCGAGGGGTCCAAGCTAAAGATAAGTCAATAACTCACTTACATACTAACCTCGGTACGGAATGCAACTACGTCCCGAAATTTTACTTCCATTTAAGAGAAATCATTTACACAATAGCTCTTTAAATACACCCAAGTTACTTTTGATAATTTCCACGAGCGAACAAATTCTGCTAAAACATCACAAAACACTCTTTCCGCTTTCTTCTCATCAACTCCATGCCCACGCGTTTTCTCAATTTTCTGCTTCCCGCGCTCCATGATTCACTCAGTCATGGAGGAAAGATAAGCCCCAGTCTTTCCCCCGCTTTCCACCTTTTAGCTATCCTTCTCCCTCTTTATACTCAATTCTAGATGGGAAAGGATGGGCTTCTAGTGAAAACTAGCTTGCACTGGACCATAGTGGAAGAACACCACATGACAACAAATGATCGGCCTATTTATTGTACTCCAATTCAACATATTTCTTTTTTCGGTAGAAATCACGGTGTACGATTTAACCATGGTAGTAATGCAGTGTGACACGATTCGTTCACGCGCGCTGTCGATTCCGAGAATGAGTCACTCACGGCGCGGCCACAGTGAAATATTTTTAGATTTATTTACTCAAAAAAGAGGCAAAAACTGTATGTGGGAGAAGTCCTGGAGATCATCTTCGCGCGTATTCTTGAGTTCCAGATTCCCTTTCCATCATTTTAATAATAAATAGTTGAAAGATAAGTAAAAGTTATAAAGAAATAAACAAACACAAATAAAGAAATAAATTAAAATTAAAAAATCTCGAGATCAGCAACATTTGAAAAACTAGACATTTTCGTTCCCAAGTTCTAGAAAACGTATTGGCAAAGGCAATTGAACTGCAGATTTGTTTTTTCTGCATTGCTAACAAAATAATAACTCGTCCTTACCTCTACTCTACCATTACAAGCAAACGGAGAGCTCAACAAAATGTGCGCATGGTGAAGTTACATTTATGTCTAGAAGAAAACCAAGGGGCTATCTCGCTATTTGCTCAAGGATCAAGAAAAATAGACAAAAACCTGATTGTGATGGGGGTCATTGACGCAGAAGCTGAAGAACATAATTTGTTATAAGCATTTTAACTCTTTTTTTTAAAGAATTATACACTACAAATGTAAACTATCTCATTATATATCACTGTTTTGTTAAAATAAACATTTTTTGATTATCAGCATAATCTCTAATTGCATAGAAACAGTTATGCAGCAGAAAAGATTTCACTTTTAACTTAAATTTGTGCACCGACTTTAGTTGTTTAATGGCATCTGGCAATGCATTCTAAAGTAACGTACAAGTATTGTATGTGGAGTTCTTAGAAAACTGTTGGTTCCGACACTTGATGAACATGATTTCTACTGTAATAATATCAGTATTGTATGAAAATATGTTCCAATCGTTAAGTAAGTCAGTTTTGACAAATATTACAGATTCGTAAATAAATAGACAAGACAATGGTAAAATTCCAAGATCAATGAAGTGAGGCTTGCAGGGATCACGCGAATGGCATTATTTCATTATTCGAATAATTTTCTTTTTCAATCTAAAAGTCTGCGTACTACAAGATGAGCTTCTCCAGAATATATTATGCCATATCTCAGGCGGGAATGCACATTTGCAAAATACACGCAACGAGCTAAAAGAAGACCAACAGAATTTGAAAGAATAATGAACTTAATTTAGTGTTTAATTCTGTTATATGTACATTCCATTTGAGATTTGACTGAATTGAGAGACCTTGAAATTTAACCTTAACATCAGCTAATTGCATATTGTTCATTTTCAATGGCGCATGCGATTGCTGATTTGAAATGTAAAAATGCATTGAAACTGTTTTTCCTTCGTTAACTATTAATTTTTAATTATTTTTTAATTCGAGTAATCGGCAGAAAACAAACAAACTGTTTTCACGAGGATTTTAATTGACGAGGACATATCGTTTACTTGTATCAGAAAGAGGATAGGACCTAAGATCGAACCTTGCGGGTAGAGATATATCTCACACCGTGGCGCCGCCCTTAGACATAAAGCATGCTGACGCACTTTCCCGTGTGAAGTGTCGCTTCGCTACACAGATCGAAGTTGAGGCATAGAGTAGAGATATGTCTCTCTCCTCTATGAGTTGAGGACGAGGCTCGGTCTTTGGCCGTGGAAGAATACAGAGAACCGTGGCGGCTCGTGCAGGGGCGGATCCAGCCGAGCATTGGGAGGAAGGGCTCATTGATTTTTTGCAAAAAATAAATACCAGCGTTGTATAACACTTAACTCACCTTGCCCTATGTAACTCAGCTGCCTCAATCCCCTTCCTGCCCTTCTTTAGCATTACGCAATATATGGATAATACATATAGAAAATTAGTAAAAACTATATTTTTGATTGTGTCAGCTTCTAGGGGAGGACTGAAACACGATGAGTGCTCCCTTGAGTACTCGACGGTATATTTGAAAAACATTGTTTGTTTCTTAAAATGTAATTCCTATTAAAAAAGGCAATACCATGTTTTTGATTCTTTATTTAAATGATGAATGATTCCTTCATTAAAAATAAAAGCTCTTTTTTATCGACACCGTATTAATGAAAATTTTCATTTTCAAGAGTTCATTTTATTGATTTCATTATTTTTATTATATGCACTGAAATTTACAATTAATTGTTAGTAATTTAATTATTGTATTTTATGTAACTTGAACTTTACTAATTGCAATCTTAGTTCTCTTTTGATCTCTGATGAAAATCCTGTCTCCATCCATGCTCAATGATTGTATCAATATGCTGAGAGGAGGGAGCCAGTTCTCAACAACACATTGACAGATTTTCACAAGAACCTCATTCACAGTTATCGGTCAGGGGAAGGGTTGATGAAAATATTAAGGGTGGGGGGTGAAACATCAAGGACTGGGAATACCTCGTAACTCAAAGGAAAACTTCCATACCTTGTATATGGGATTAACACCCACAACCTTAATGTCTTGGTTTTTGGGTGCACATTCTCCATTGATCCACTGTACTACTGATACTGGTTGACCTACTGTACATAAGGCCAAATGACTCTACTGTACATGGTGTTAATCTATGTTAATGTAACCACCACTGTGAGTCTCCGACGCAAACGTACAATTACCCCTCACAGACGGCAGTTGGGAGTACTAACTGTGGACGGTATTATTAAGCGTATCGGAAGGAAAACAGTGCAGAAACGGAGTGATTTAACGGACGACCAAAAGGGCACGATCGGGCCAAGGGCAGAAGCATTTCTGAAACCGCCAAGTTTGTAAAGCGTTCGCATGCCGCCATGGTTAATGTATACTGTGCACGGCAAAATGGTGATATCCAAAACTGGCACCGAAGCAACCATGGCGCACCAAGGGCCATGGTTGACAAGGGAGAACGATGGCTGCGGGGATGTGTACAGGCGGATAGATGCAACTGACCGCCCTGATGGGCCAAGGGTCTCCTCAACAACCGATCAGCGAACGTTGCTGTGTATGGACCTCCGCAACAAGTGACTAGTTCAAGCACCCATCATGACTGCTGTTCATCTGTGTCGAAGGCAGGAATTTGCACGCCAATACCGAAACCGGACGTTCACTGTGTGGCGACAGGTAGCCAGCAAAAAAATAATTGCAAAATTTAAGTAGTTAGTTCGCAACGCTGACAAATCATCAAAACTGAACAAAGACGACTCAGAACCGAAGAAAAAATGTATTTTAGCGCGACGCCTTGTCGCACCATGTGCGCGGTTCGCTCTACTCATTGACGAACACAGCATAGCCAATATTTTTCGAGGCTGGTTGTTGCCCAGGGCAATATTGAGCAATTCTGACTTCCCCTCACTGTCAACTTTTGCTAGAGTTTGGTGGGAACAAACGTACAAGATCATTTGTCCTCCTATATTTCTTTGCGTTTGCGCTGTGAGGTGGAAAATGTCAGAGGGAAATTTTAATTTCAAAAGCGAAAAGACAAACAAAAGTTGAAGGGGCAAGCAAGCAAAAAGAAAAGGAAAAGAAAAAGAAAAAAGCGTAAAATACGCAGGAAAGCGTAGCTTCGTAGAACATAACACCGGGGCTGAATATTCTACCTATCAACTTCATCTTAAAACTTTTCTTAAGAAAACAAAATTGTCATAATATTAGAATGTAACATGACACAACACTGGATAATTGAGGTTTTCTTTATTTACAAGCAATTCATAATTGCAGTAGCATTATTCACAACCATGAAGATATACTGATTCTTCTGTACATGACTTGCGACAATAACAAAAATGCAGGATCTAGGGTGGAGGAAAATTTACAATTTTCTGAAAGAAACAAATCAGAAAGTTTTACCAAGCAGTATTTCCTTTCCACTCCAATTCATCAGTCTTATCCTGGTTGCAAAAAAAGTAACAAAGTTTATACACACATTTTTGCATAGTTTACTTACTATGCACTACATAAATATCATAACCCCTCTACAAACTCTTAACAAAATGTGTAATGCTTTTTAATTACATATTGAGTCCACATTTACTTTTTTAACTTTCCACTGAGCAAAAAGAAACTAATCAACAGGATGAAAAGGTTTTTTTCGTCCTGATTGCTCCAACCTAACAAAAAAATACCTGACACTGAGAGACTAGAATAAAACTTAATAATATACGCACAAATTCAACTTTTCTAACATTCATATTATATTGGCAGAATTTATCTGTTCCTTAGATAAATGAAAGAGAGATGACCATTTGAAGTTACAAAAACTGCTGAATGATATTACTAATTTCAAATATATGGTAATTGACAACACAACGCAGCCTTTGGCAAAGTGAGAAGTGTCAATGGATTAGTTCAGGTGCAGATCCACTGGGAGGGAAATGAAGTAAAATCCCCCACCACCACTAAATTTTTCAGTAACTATTTATTTTAACTTGTCACAAAATTTTCAGATAATCATTAAAACAAATAAAATCACATCACAATCAAAACATTTTGAATAACCCTCCTTTCCCCCAAGATTCATCTCTGGATCTGTCCCTGATTAGTTAGGTACCCAGGAAGACTGGCAAAGTACAAAACAATTAAACAGTTTCGTTTTTTTGACTGAAAAATGCCAATATTTGATTATGCTAATCTGCAATTTCTCATAGTGATATTACAAGTATATTCTCATACTCAGTGTGACACTGTGTATGGCACAGCTGATGTCATGCGTTAAGGAAGAAAAAACTTCAGTAATCACTTATGCTATTTCAGAACATTAAATTTTTGTTGTTCTAAACCTCCATTTACCACACACTCACAGCAGCATTTTTGCAGCTGCATGCCATTAGACTTCTTTAAATTAAAAGCAAATGTAGATTTGGAGCTTTACATTAATATCACATAATCAGAAAAGGAAGACATTAAAAGTTAAGAATTTAAAATTTGGAAGTATTATTAAAATTTAAAAGGATTTATCATATTTCATACAAATCTTGCTAATATTTTGCTACATCACTGTATGAAAAACAAAACTATTTTCTTGAGATCATGCACATTTGCTCTCGATGACGATTAAAATAAAAGTAGGAAAATATCCCCGTAGTAGTACTGGTAAAACATTTGAAATATTTGCTGGTACATAACAAAGCATGTTATGCTGACACTGCTTGTAAACTTGGAGTGCAATTATTTAAAAATTAATTAATTTGTATGTTTTGTAATACCATGTTCCATCTTACAATCACTACGTTAATTAATAATGATTATTTTACATAGTACTATATTCCAAAAGCAACAAAAATTAGTATCAAACAAAACACATTAACTGTACCTTTTCCTTGCAATCAAGGTACATTTCCACTTTTTTTCTTTAATACAATATCAAAAAGATTTTCTAGAAACCTTGTCTGAAAACAATTACACTGAATAAGTTTTGGGAGAGATTTCATCAATTCAAACTATAACCCTGAATTACTTTGAATTCAGATATTTTCAACGCTATTTGTACATAGTCATAAATCCTAAAATTGTATAAGTCCCGACTTTAGGGGTTCAGGAAAGACTAGGAGAAATCTGGAAGATTTTTATGCATATAAATTATTATACTGCTTGGCAAGCATATTCAACAAATTCTCAGCACTAAAGGGAAGTACAACAGTACTTGGGAGCATAACTTACTTGCTTTCAATGAATAATGCATTGTGTATAAAACATTCACTGCTCTGTGCACAGTAATTTGCAAGTAAGGAGATAGGAAATAAAATTAAAATGTAACTAATTCAACACAGATGTAGATATTCTTTCATATTTTTCTTTTTACTTCTCACAATTAACTTCAGGATCTTTAAGATTTTTACGGAAATACACAAACAATTGTTTTAATTGATAATGTTATTTCTTTACAAAATTTACTGTTAGTTTATAAAATAGGAAATACAGTAAAGAAATTTTGGCCAGTCTTCAATTGATTTAAATCTGATTTCATGGTAGAAAATGGTCCCTCAAGAGCATATAAATCTAAAGCTCCTACATTGCAAAGGGAAGTCAAAAATGATGAGAAATAGTGAGCTTCCAGAAGTATGTGGTCCATGCAAAAGTACATAGCTGATATCATCTGCTTCATTTTAATTATTCCATTTGCAAGTCAATAGCAAGCTTTTTATAAACAACTATTTAAGAAAATTATGCTCACAAACAAAAATGTTTTACAGTATACATATTTCATTGAAAGATACTTCTCAAGGGAATCATAAAAAAACAAACAAAAACAAGTACACACACAACAAAGCTCCCCTAAAACATCACAATGGGCTGAGTTCTTGGTCAAATGACTTCCAAGCAATTTGCTTAGTTTAAATAAACACTTTCCAATGAAATGTGGAGTCAAGATAAAAAAAATTATGTCATTCATTAACCAACTTGCTCTGTAATTACTTACAATTACTTCAGATTATTTTTAATTTGAAAGTTATTTTTGTGTTCTGTTCGAGTGTGTCCCACAACAAATGTAGTTGGATACGCCATAAACAGGGTTTACAGCTGTTAATGTAGAAGTGATGTCTAATACACATCATCAAGTCACCTTAATAAGTGCAGTGCTAACTTAAATCACAACTATCGCTTGATACCATAGATTCCCAGCACATTTCTGTTCTGAAAATGCAGTTAACAAAATATGTATACTCTACATAAACTAATATGAATTGTATTTATGAATTGTTTACTCAGAAAGATGATCACTTGTCTACAAAAATTAATGGCAAATATGCACAGAAGTACTCTAAAAACAAAGTACAAATTAGGGAGGAATAGGTAAAAGGATAACAGTATTTTGTTTTGTTTTTTATGAAATGTAAAGAATATCACTCAAAGAACACAACATTTGAATTGATAAGGTGAAAGGAGAAAGTTTGATAAAAATCAGTAAAAGATAATTTGTGGTAAGTAACAATTTTCACAGCCCATTACTTACAGAGAAGCCGAACAGTGCAAAGCATTAGCCTTGAAATAATAACATCTATGTGTACCTGTACTTGTTTCCCATCAGTACATTCCAGTTACGTATCTTCATGGAGAGATCAAATTTATATGCAGTCGAAAATTTTATTGTGAGGGACATAACCTAAGTAACAAGCATTGCCATGGCAGGGTAAGTACCACTGACATATCAAGCAGCTCTTCTACAAGTGAATTTAAAATCTTCGAGACTGCTCATGTTTAAAAGGTATTCTTCATCCAAAAGTCAATGTCTAAATCAGTACCCACAATGAAAACAATGAAAAATGTTGAAATGCCACCCACCTTCAAACAAGAGGTGACGTAATATATCCCAGACTTTACCATAAAAACCCTTAGCCGACATGTTATGGACACAACCCAATTCTGATCCCAAACACCAAGACGTTAGATTCTGGCACAAATGTGCTGCACCACAACCACTACTGCCCATACATCCATGAATTGGCAGCTCTGCTCAGCAATGACCGACTTCTACAATGGGCCATCATGCTGTATTTTCACCAGACTGTCAGTGTCGACGCATCCTTCGTTCCAATTTCCGCTGCTTCTTCTCTTCAGCTTCAGTCATTGCAGCAGATTGTGGCTCTTCTTGAAAGAACCAAGGTGCCAATACACTGCGCCACAGAATCCAAAAACCTCGAGCAGGAGCCTGCAATTATTATAACATTATAGTATTTTGGTGTGTAAATCATAAAAAATAAATTTTTATATAAATAAAATCATTTTGTAAAGAAGCTACTTCCTAAATAATCATCTGTTATTATTATTCACATTGATAATTAATATGAAATATCATTGTTATTGTAAGAGTTTTCATTATTTTTGGGTATTATATATATATATTTGTGTGAACATGACAATAGTAATTCATGACACAATTATGACAATTCGAAGCAATTAAAAACAATACTTATATGCATCTGTAAGTTAACCAACCCAAAATATATTACTTCCTAAAACGAGGTTTCTCTTGACTGAGTACTTACCAGCAGCCACAGCAACCAAAAATAATTGCTTATGAGTGACAGAAGCTGACAGCCGGAAGTTAAAATAATCAGGTCTTTCACATGCCTGCAAGACACGCTCAGTTGTTCAGCATTTGGATCATGAAATAATATAAAATAATCTGCACCAATCAAGTAAAGTAACCAATATCTACTAATTTGGTACATTTTAGATGTATGAAAACTTACTCTGCAATGCCCCCTTCCATGTTCAAGTCAACTCCAGCATCTAGCAGTTGCCCAGCATCTGTGTACTTGGCACGTGCCATATAAGACATGAACTGATAACTGGCAACATACACAATAGCCGCAAAAAGGAACAAAACCTGAAAGAAACACAAAAAAAACCAACAATAATTGTAAATTTTAGTATTAAGGTAAGAATGTCTGTTGTTTGACAACAGAATATTTAACAAAAAATATTTCACAGAACTAAAAACCTAACTACTAGGATGAATATACCATTTTCAATTCAAAAGTGTATACACGTGTTCAAAATAAACTATATAATGCTAATCTTCATACTTGCCATGAAAAACACAGCAAAAAGGGTCATAGTTTGTAAATTTAAATATTATTTATTAATTTGTCATATTTACCCATTTCTATCAATGTTACTCCAGCTTATTTATATTACTCAGATTATTTATTATTATTATTATTATTAGTTCATTATTTTATTTTATTACAGGTAGCAGTAATCTGTTTCAGTTCTATAAAGCCACGAATTTTCAAAAATGCAAAAAACAACAATGTTCATATCAGAACTTACGATTTCCTTTATCAAGTACTATCTTTATACTCATATATGACTTAATTGATGAAAACCTCATTGCTAATATGCATCCTATAAGACATTCTTCTGTATAGTGTTATTCCTTTTCTTATCACTAACAATTTTTTTGTTGTTGTTGAACTATTCACAATATTCAAAGGCTCTTATGGAAGAAATTTGATAAACAATTGATGCAAAATAAACTCACTGTATTGCTTATTGTAAAGCTGTCAAAGAAGACACAAGTCACTGTAAGAAAAGTTCCACTGGCTATAAAAACCATATTGCGATAGAAATTTAAAGTGGCTTGATTGTCATCCACAATTTGCTTCTGACCTTTGGTACCTTGCTTTCCTTTTTGTGGCTAAAACATAGAATTGTTTACATATCAAATTGAGTAATGTTACCCCATAAGTAGCCAGCTACTTAACCTTTTAAAATGTATACTAGAATGAGCACCACATGAACTTACAGCCATATTGTAGCTCAAAATTCAACTGGTTTAAATAAAAATCGTTGCCGGATAATTCTGCAACTTTCCGCTATCTTATACAAGCCATTATAAATTATTAAAGGTGAATTACTGGGCACTCAAAGACCATCAAGGCCAGTTCCACGTTCATCCACGTTTTACTGCTACTGTACGCAGCGACGGGCCAACACACACATTATCCAAAGAGTAATAGGATTACACGTATGTTTCTCTTTTCCAACTCTACCCCTACTCCCTCTACTCTTTGACGACACAGCTGACAGCTCATTGCCACGCCTACCCAGCATGCTTCGTATTCCTATGCTACGTTGTCAAGGAAGACAAGATAGATTCATGCAGTATTGTTAAAATTCCTCATCGAACTGATAAATCGCATTGCGCTGTGAAAAAGAGGATAAGTCGATTAAGCCTTTCCATCATGGATTAGGCCAAAATGAGTTAAGTAGCCGGCGATAAACAGAGAGACGTTTTCTACGTTGAGTATAATTTGGTAATTGATGTGTTGACCTAAAACGATTATTGAAAAGGTCGTTAATAATACTGGTATACACAAATTTATTTTTATTTGTTACTATACCAATCTTGTGGTTGCTCATGATCTCGTAGTTAATGCGGCCCTAATAAACCAAATTTTAAAATAATATATTTTATTTCGAAATTTTCACTACCTTTGTAATGTAATAATGAAAGATCATTCCACACACACTGGTATTCACCCACTTCTCTCAGCGGGTACCGCAGCTGTAACTACTGGCCAGTAATACGCACCCAGCGTGAGAGACACACAGGGACTTCCTTCCAGAACAGCCAACTTGACTCACAGAAATCAACCTAATTTCAAATGGAAACAAATTCTACAAACATCATAAATAATGCATTTATTACTTTCAATAGTGATTGAAATTGTGTTCTTCTATAAATAATAAATATATGAGACTGTTTTCAACAAAACAGTGTTATTGTTTGTACCACGTATCACAAAATTAATAACGATCGTAAAATAATTTGATAGGATAAACAATGAACAAAAATTAAAAAAAATCACACACTATCAGCAAACTATAAGGACTGAACCAAATGATGGTGGTCCACGAAATAGTATAAACAACTTCAAAGCATGGAGACAACTGTGTGAACGTGAAGAACGTAAATTTGTTTACTTTCTAGCGTTGCCAACATTAGCGGAAGATGCACGAAACCCGCTTAGCTAAGCCGCGCCTCTAGATCGCCTCGAAGGGACTGGTAAAACGCGTTTTCCGGAAGCTCGTTTAAATTTAAAACTTAAATTTTGAGCCAGCTAAATCAACCCAGCGCTTAACGAAATATTGGTGAAACAAGCCCTCAGAAAATTAGTATTCCCCTCGGGACGCCGCGCAGCACTCGACGACCAGACCCCCACCCTCTAGTTGTGCAACTGAAGGCCCTATTCATTCCTTTGTTGAAGGAGATAGATCTAAAGAGCAAATGCAGCAAGTGCCAAGAGTGCAAGGTTTGGTGCAAGACTTGGGAGAGCACCAGACAACGGAGAGAGCGCTCATCGGGCGCTCTTTTGTTTTCATATATACATCGATATTGCTGCAGTATCTTGAGCATTGAATGTCATTGAAACGAAAATATTTATTCTAATGTATATTCCTAACACATAAAATATTTTTCGATTATCTAGGGATTGTGCAACAGAGCAACCTAAGCCCGAGCCGCCACTGATATCTATTATGTGAATTCAATTGTGTGTACAGCTGTCTCAGAATAAATGTCTCAAACGTTTAGAACATATCAAATCACGTTCTGAAGCAGTCGACGATATTTCAGGTATCCGCTGAACATTTATGCAAAAGGTGCACAATGCACAATCTGCGGCAAATGTCTCATGTGTAACTTTTCTATATGACATTGCCAACTACATGTTCACTGGCAAAATATGATAATTTTCTACTCCTGTGCATGCTCTAGAAGTTTTACACATTTTGGGTGGAGTCATTCCATATCAAGTGGTTGAGGGCTTCCTGTGCTATCACATTTGGTGTGTGTCGAATCTCACATTTATCAGGAAGACCTTTTGTGAAATTTTAGTTTCACAGGTGAAATAGCTGTGGAGAAATAGCGGTTTGTTAGATCCACGCAGAACCTATCTATACGAATAATTCGAATAGAAGAATGAACTTCGGAATACAATGTTTCGTTCGTTATTTGTAAACAAATAAAACTAAGTCTGTTTGTACAACTTTTTTCAATGGAACTAATAATCCAACTACATTCAATGGAAATAATATCAAATTTTCAAGTACTAATTCACAGTAGGCCAAATTACAGTAAACTTGCCAGAAAAGTATTGTTGTAAAACGAAAATTTAATGTTGAATAAATTCCAAAATATTCAAATTAGGAAAATCAAACTTAGAACATAATATGTAAACACGACTTAGTTTGTTATTTCACAGTTTCAACGTACTAGCTCTTACAATTTCTCCACAAGTTAAGTTTAAAATGGTTAAAAAGTTTAAAATGGATGATTTCAGCAAAAAAGGGTGTTTTCAATATACATGTTACTAAATGAAACTTGAACTTGGTACGAGTGTATCAACCCATAAGAGATAGAACAATTGAGGTATGAAATGGGATGCTATGGAGGCGCGTTTTGTTTGAGAGACGCTGGCTTGAGTTCGAAAGATATGGACGCATGACATTAAAGTCGTGATATTTAAAGTGAAATATTTGTTTAAATACCCAAATAGTAGTATGTTCATGTGATTGGAAGATGGGCGAAACCTTGGGGAAGGTGTTGGGTTAGGGTTAGTGGTTCAAGAATACACAAGATATCCGCAAACGCGGAGCAGATAACTGTTTGCCGATTCATTAGTTATACAGAACTTTCGAACAACATGTTTTCTTTTTGTTGGAACTTTAAGTGTTGTAGTTGACAATACTCGAGACTGGGGAGAACAGACAGTGTCGTGGGGCAAGTGGAAAGCAGCGGCAGCTGAAATGATTGGAAATACCCATGATCGCGGGTGCCCAAGGGAGTGTTGTGGGACACACTGTTGCGGGACAAAGATCATAGATACGTAACAATAAATTTACAAAAAAATACTTTTATAAATGTTTTTAAATATATCTCGTGAAAAAATGCCTATTTTGAAGCCTTTAGAAAAGCGAATTTGATTTGGGCATACAATGCTCAAAATGTGAAAAGTGCTTGGATGTTGACTAAAAGTTAGGGTACAATAAAAATTACAGATTCATAATCTAATGCTTCTTCAACATTTAATAAATAAAAGCGAAATTTAGCATGTCAAATTTCAATATTACATTGTTTTCGAATGCATAATTATCTTGCTCTCGCAAATACTATAAATTAAGTGCAAAGTTGATAATGTTTGCAAAAAGCTCCAGAATATATTTCCAACTCATATTGACAGAAAAATACTTGTTAGAAATGATTTAAAACATATCTTATTAGAAAGAATACATTCTGAAGCTCCTAGAGAAATGTGTTCATTTTGCAATGTCGGGATAGAATGTCAGAAGTCAAAGACAATGTTGGATGATATTGGCAGCAAGTTATGAGTATTTTAACGTACAGAATTATACCATTTTAAGCCATGTTTACTGATTTTTTGGATGGTCCAGGATAATTATTATTCCCAATGTCATTCTCAGTTCAAGAAAATAAACTAGCAGCTCCATCGTCACAGGATTCACGCCCAGTGGATGTGGAACACCAGCCATGGGTGGTTCTCTTCATTACGTTTCCAAATTCTGTGATATGGTGTCTTGATTTTCTGAAGAATCAATTCAGTGGTATTAAATGACCCTAACGAAGCGTTACGAAGATACACACGTCACATTTTCCCCTGACATTTAGGCAACTCGTCCTACACTTGAGTTCAGCAGGTTCACGAAGTATCTTTGCGTTGGAAGTGCAGTGATCTGCCGAACTCCAGTGCACAAGGAGAAGCCTGTCCATCAAAGGCAAAGGCCATTTGTACCGTAAGTGTAGTGCGTGTTTTATAGAAGGAGGTTGTGGCGATCTTCTTCCGCTGAATGGCGAGATCGGCGCCGGCCTACGACATGGTAATACGTGGTAAGGACATTAGTACCGTAAGTGTAGTGCATGTTTTATCAAAGGAGGTAGTGGTAATCTTCTTACGCTTAATGGCGAGATCGGCGCCGGCCTACGTTGACTCAAAGGTAAATGTTACATATGTATCTTCGAAATGTGGAATTTCCCTCCACATGTTCATTGGCCGAAAGTGAAAATCTTCGAATCTTCGACAAAACATGTCCTACAAGTTTATAGCATGGTTATGAAATATTGTGTATAGTGAATATAGTTTAGGTAAAGTGATGTACTGTGAATAGGAATTTGCGACTGGCAGTCGCAACTTTAATTCTTGTCTCACACTAGCCGTAGAAAGTTCCTACAAACTGTGTGATCACTCTTTATCACGGTGAGTTGATAAAGAGGGCAAATGATGTCATTTTGCTCTTGAGAAAATGCGCAAGAACGAATATGAATATCTCACAAACGCATCCTGCTTTCCGGAGAATTTTCACTGCAGTCGGAAATAAATTGAACTGACCTAATCTTTTGAGGAGCAAGCTCTCTTGGCTGAATAAATTTATCTGCCTCCTATCGTTGGAAGGAAGTATTACATTTAGGTTAAGTAATACTTAACAAGTATCTCTTCATACTCGGTTGTATTAATATATTTAAAATCGCAAAGCTACTTTCGTACTACGCCATTACAGGCGTTCCGGAAGGTGAAAGTCTTGTAGTATCATATGCCATTCATAGATGGCAGGAGCAAGTACGGCGAAAGTTCTTCGCCAATGGGGCTGAGACATTCGGGGCAACGTAGGGGAGTGGGCTGAACTAAATGTGTAATTCGGAGGCGCTAATGGCAACTTGTCAGAACCGGCAAGTTTCGAAACAGTTTTTGAGCCGGATCCGTGATTTTCAAATTCAAAATGCCTCCTGTCCAATAGGACTGGTATTTCCTCAAATTCCCCCTCTTAGTTTTGTTAGATATTGAGCTCAGGAATTAGTAAATAATCACATGATCATTTCGCAACAATATGTACCTAAGTAATTAATACAAAAGTATAATTAATTACTGAATACATGCGAAGGTTAAATATTTATTTACATCAGACACATTACACATAATGTGTCTAATATTTTTTAAATTTTTTGCAAACATAAATGTTTCTTCAGCATAAAAAGCCTCAAAACCTTTAAAATACCTATACAATTATTTCTTTAATAAA